AGCTGGCAACAGAGACGTCTCGGTTGATGTTTCTGTGTAGTATGGTGCTAGCCCAACTGAGGGGATATAATGTATAGGCCTGGTGGGTTCAGGGTCTTTCATCTTACATCTGCCTGCGAGCAGTTTGGAGGTGCAAGATACCTGAGCGTGTAATGTTAATTTTACCTGTGATCCTTTGAATAAATCAGCACTGTTTTGAAGTTACTTGGACTGTCTCGTCTCTCAGAGTTAGCATGGTAAGACGGACCGTACCCTACACTATGTTGCTAGCATTTAGGGACTGGCCCTTCAGTGGTGTACCTTGTAGCATCAAAATAAATCATCCTCAATCTCCTATTCCTGTTTACCCATCTCCTGTAGAGTGCCACAAGGCTCCATATTATGACCTATATTACTTTTTTTATATATGCTTCTTTCATTGAATGTTAACTTCCACACAAGAAATCTTGGTGTTATATTTTTGTTTCTGATTTAAAATTTGTTAAGCAAATCAACTCTGTTGTGACCACTAGTTTTTTTTTTTTTTTTCATTTAAGATCACTTGCAAAATTTTAATCAGTCCTATCTGCTAAAGATTTTCATATCACAGTGCAAGATGGTATTTCCTCTCACCTTGACTACTGCAGTGCACTCTATGTAGGAATCAGTCAGTCAGCCTTTTCTTGTCTGCTTCAAAATACAGTAGCGAGACACCTCACTTGAACCAAGAAGAGAGAGCATTCCTCTCCAGTTCAGGACTCTTATTTTTGATTTCTAGTGAAGTACAGCATTTAGAGATTTTATAGTTTGACGTTAATACACACCAAATTACATCTCTGAACTCCTCATCTCCTTTTCCACCTCCAGACCACCAGGTCTGCTGACTATGTACTGCTCTACAGTATACTCCATGTACACAGTTAAAATCAAAAGGTGACTGAGCATTTTCTATTGTTGGCACAAAATTCGGGACCATTTTCAGAATCCGAATCAGAATGAGCTTTACTAGCCGGGTGTGTAGGACACATGAAGAGTTTGACTCTGTGGCTCTCAATGTGTATGTACAATGTTCTTCCATAAAGCAACAAGTAGATACAGTAAATAAGATAAGACTGAGAGAACATCAACAACAACAAAAAGAATGTGCAAACAAAAAAAGGAATGTGCATCAGGAAACTAAAAATAAAGTCCTTTTAAATAATTGACTTGACATGAGTTGACAGTTTTGTGTTTGCTGTCTTTGAATTTTCTGGTATGTATTGTCTTTCTGTACTGGTGTGCTTAATACATTTTCCTCACATTTTGCATGTGCAGCAGTTTATCCTAACTGAATATATACTGGTGATGAACATTTCTATTATTCTGACTTTGTTTCATTTCAGCTTTGCTCATCATTCATTCACCTGCCTCTGCCACAGGAGCTGCACTGAGCTTTGCTGAATATGTTGTGGCCCCTCTTTATGGTGGCTGCACCCCTCCACAACTGGTGGTGAAATGTGTGGCTGCAGCAGGGATCATGGTGCTGGCTGTAGTTAACTGTCTGAGTATCCGCTTGGCCACAGCCATCCAGGTGGTTTCCACAGTAGTCAAAGTGCTGGCACTGGCAATGATCACACTGGGAGGCATTGTGATGCTTTTCCAGGGCAACACTCAGAACTTTGACAACTCCTTTGAGGGGACAAATGTTGGTGTCAACTCCATTGGAATTGCTTTCTATCAATTGTTGTGGTCTTATGGTGGTTGGAACACTCTAAATTACTTAACCGAAGAGTTGAAACATCCAGAAGTAAGAATTTTACTTTTTTAAATAAACTATAAAATTACATTTATGCTGTTATCCACTATTAAATTAGAGAATATTTACTCATGGAGTCCAGCATGACTGAAGATATTCAGTTAAGAGCATATATGTTTTCTGTCATTTGCTGTTTTTTGATTTCAGTGCTTCAACTGCTATCAATGATTGTGGTCCTATGATGATCGGAACACTCGGAATTATTTAACTGCTCTGCTATGCTGAACTTGGTACACTCATCCCAGAGTCTGGAGCAGAGTATATCTACATTCTAAAGACAGCAGGGAAAGTGGTGGCCTTCTTGTTTCTCTTCAGCTTTATTATTGTCATGAGGCCTGCCTCTGCCACAGGAATTGCACTAAGCTTTGCTGAATATGTTGTGGCCCCTTTTTATGGTGACTGCACCCCTCCACAACTGGTGGTGAAATGTGTGGCTGCAGCAGGGATCATGGTGCTGGCTGTAGTTAACTGTCTGAGTATCCGCTTGGCCACAGCCATCCAGGTGGTTTCCACAGTAGTCAAAGTGCTGGCACTGGCAATGATCACACTGGGAGGCATTGTGATGCTTTTCCAGGGCAACACTCAGAACTTTGACAACTCCTTTGAGGGGACAAATGTTGGTGTCAACTCCATTGGAATTGCTTTCTATCAATTGTTGTGGTCTTATGGTGGTTGGAACACTTTGAATTACTTAACTGAAGAGGTGAAACATCCTGAAGTAAGAATTTTACTTTTTTAAATAAACTATAAAATTACATTTATGCTGTTATCCACTATTAAATTAGAGAATATTTACTCATGGAGTCCAGCATGACTGAAGATATTCAGTTAAGAGCATATATGTTTTCTGTCATTTGCTGTTTTTTGATTTCAGTGCTTCAACTGCTATCAATGATTGTGGTCCTATGATGATCGGAACACTCGGAATTATTTAACTGAACAGCTGAAACATCCAGAAGCAAGAGTTTTACTTTTTTGTGAACTATGAAATTACAATTATGCCTTTGCCATTCACTGTTGATTGAGTTTGTTGGTCAGTCCACCTCTGGATGTACAGTACAAACATTTATAAGTGCAGTTGAAAATTCAGGTAAATCCGCACTGATCGGTTTTTACTGCCTCTTGACCATTTATGTTCAGCCAATCATTTCTGGTATTCATACCTTACAGTCCCAAGGTGCGTGGTCAATGGCAGACAAGGAATCTGTAGCCATGAAAATTAAGTGGTACACTGAGTTTACTGGCGGTGCAGCACTATTCCCAGGAATAATACAAATATTTTTTGACAGGAAAAAAAGGTCACAGGTTTACAGTCATGGCTGTGATCAGATTATTGACAATGGTTAAACCTTCAGTTTGGAACAAGTTATTATTTATGGCAGTTCAAGAAGAACTCACAATCAGCATGAACTAAATGCTTGAAACCAGGACTGAAACATTGGTAGTTGTGCAAATTGTCATTGAAAGGACTTAGAAACTTTGTAGGGCCCTTTTCAAATCCTGTTTGCTTCACAGAACTAATTTCTTATACATTTTTCTTTTGTTGCTATTCATCTACCACAAGATAGTTTGATGCTCAGTATCTTATATTTTGCTCACCAAATTTAATGTTTTTAGATTATATTTCAGTGAGGTCATCTGTGATGTGGCTTTGGGGGTGACTGCCATCTCTCCGCTGCAGTAGAGAAAGAGAGGTGTGACCTTGGTCCTGAACTTGAGATTTATCCATCTTTCATTTAGCAAGGACCACGCCATCAGTCACCGTGCAGAGCTGTGTATTTCCTTTTTTTTGTTTTGTTTTTTTTTGTTTGTTTTTTACAACAACGGAGGTCTAATGCACAGATGAACAGGCTAATTTGGGATTGACAAAGTGGCAGACATTAATCATGAGTAGGGGCAATTAGTTTTAGTCCCCATAAGGAAATTGCTGAAAATACTATTACTATAGAAAATGACTGGCTTTGGCCTTTAAAGACCTATAAGAATTTATTGTATAAGAAACATCAAAAAGCAAGTTTCCAATTCACCATAAAGATTTTCTTGAGTCTTGGCAACATGGCTCTGTGGATGGTGGCATCAGTGTGTCAGATTGTTGATCCACCACGTTGGTCAGACTGAAGTATTTCAGCAACTACTGGGTGGTTTGACATTAAAATGTCTACAGCCATCCATGATCTCCAAAAGATGAATCCTGACTTTTCCTGGTGCCAACATGAGGTTGACATTTTTAACCTTTAGTGAAATGTCTTGACAACTATTAAATAGATTGTTGTACCATTTGGCACATGCATTTGTGTCCCTGTTATGAATATATTGTAATAATTTAGGTAATCCATTAACTTTTTATCAATCATTTCACCATTTTACCTTATACAATAGATTTAATACCAGAAAATCTTACATTCCTGTCACAGCTGTACTTTATTTAGTGCTAATTAGCAAAATATTAGCATTCTAGCACACTAAACTATAATGGTGTAAATGGTAACCATTACACCTGATAAATATAATATTAGTTCTGTCATTGTTAAGATGTTAGCATGTCAACATTAGCATCAAACTCACAGGAGTACTATGCTTCAGTACAACCTCAAAGAGATGCATGGCAACAGACATTTGTTCCTGGTTTCTAATACTGGCAGTGTTTTAGTTCTTGCAGTATTCTGATTCTGCATGACTCAGTTTATGTGCACCATATTTTGTTGTTGTCTTAATCCAGCGAGTTTCAAGATTGTGGTTTTTCAAGGTTAACAATAAGACATCTGAAAGGAGCTGACCTTACTTAAAACTATTTTTGACTCTACATTTCAAAATAAACAATCATTGTGTGATATAGAAAAAAATTATTAAACAAGGTACGACCATTTTATTGTGCAACTTTCACATGACAAGAGCTTGTTCAACACAAATGAGGGACGAACAGGAACGGGAGACAGCGTATAATGTTCTGCATATGCATATACAAGACCAAATTTCTGTAATGCTACTGAGTTCAGAATAGTTTGTCTGGTGTGTAAACCAGATGTATAACTGGTATAATTCTCAAAATAAGAATTTGTCATTTTTGTATATTTTGGTTTGTTCAAATTTAATATTCTATGTCTCAACAAAAGGTTGGTGAATATTTTTTTATAATAACTTATTCTTCCATATAAGCTTGAAGGTCTCAATGCCTCTTGGATCCAAAAGCGTTTTACTGACCAAAAAAGGCTGAGATGGAAAATGTTATGCATGTTTAATGTGTCTGAATGTGTGTGTGTGTGTGTGTGTGTGTGTGTGTGTGTGTGTGTGTGTGTCAAAATCCAGTTGAAGCATCACTTTGCTCCAGGTTTCTTCTCTGTACCATCAGAAGCAGTTAACTTGCTTTCAGCTCTGTCTTCACAGCTCTGCTCCCCTGTCCCACTTGTGCCCCCCTGTGACAACTGGTGGTACATCATGTGAAGCCGCTCAGCATTTAGGTCTGCATCTTCTGCCCCCTCACAGAACTTTATCCAGGTCTGAGGAATGGCCTTGATGCCATAGTGGGCCCCTGCTATTGCCCCAGCCATGCACGCTATGGTGTCTGTGTCTCCTCCCAGGGCCAGGCTGTATGCTATTGTCCTCTCCACACCACCATAGCTCTCTGGAAAGCATTCCTGGGGCTGCAGGCAGTGCAGGACACAGAAGATGGCAGTGGGGACCGAATGGAGTGCTGCAATGCCATTACCTAGAAAGAAGACACATTCACAAATTGGAAAGGAAATTTTTAATTCTGCTGTTATCACCCTAAATCACACACAGTGGAAAGATGTTAAAAAAGGTGATTAAAGAGCAACAGGTGAAAAACTACACAATTAAACAAAGAGATACTGACCCAGTTCAGAGATGACCTCCTCTATGCTGACCTTGCTTCTGTCCATCAGGTCTCTAACTCTGTGAAGGCGCTCACAGAATGGCTTCTCTGCTTCCTTGAGGCTGAACAGACACACCATGATAAAGGAAAATTGATGAAGAAAAATAACTCTCCCAGCATGGCCTCAATTTTTGACATTTCAGACCTGAAAAATATATTTTAAAATTATATACATTTTCTATCATTTCTGACTAATAACACCAAACTATAGGTCACACAGCAAGACTAGATCAGATGTTTGCTAAAATTGTCATAGAAGAGGCTCTGTTCACATAGTACTCACATTCTGGCATCATTGCGAGCTGCCTCATCAGCCTCCACTTCCTCCATCTCTGTAATTAGTGTGTTGATGAACTTCTGAGGTAAGTCTAGCGCCCCCTGCAGGGAGAGGTGCACAGCTAATGCCTGCAACACTGCTCCATTGTAACCCAGAGAACAAGAATGGGTCAGCATGGCACCCAGACGGGCAAACTGCAAAAGAAAAGAGAAAGAATACACTCAACATGGTAGAAAATGTGGCTTATAGTCAAATACAGGCAATCATCTTTGTGTTAAAACTTTTTATTTACTTTATTTTATCTGTACTCTAATTTCCCATAGAAAAAATAATGGGATCTTGACTTTTCTTATCTATATCTTCAACATGCATGTCATCTAGAATGTGCTTTGTGCCCACCCAGATGCCCTCTGCTCACCCTTTTAACACTGGCTATATCAGGAAAAGCCAGTGCAAAGGGGGACGCCCTCATGGCCCCACCATTTCCAAAAGAGCCCCGACCATTAAACTGGTTCCTGGCGGGCTGGTACACATCGCTAAGTTGGGGAGAGGCCAGCTTCTTTAGCACGTGAATCACTCCAGAACCATAACCACGACCAGGGGATGCACTGTACTCCTTAGAAAACCTAGAGGGGTGGGATACCTAGCTTTTAGTTTGCATGTTGTCCTCAATTTATTTCACAAGCCTATGACCCAATATTTGCACTAACATATACATGCATGTCAGCAGTGTTCACTTGTATACCTGCGAGCCATGTCCTGCTCATTGAAGCCAGCATGGGTGAGTAGAGACTGGACCACACAACGCGCCATGGCAGTGTCATCACTGTATTCAAGGATACCTTACACACATACACACAAGTATAAACACTGCATTATACACAAAACAGCTTGCATCACATAGACTCAGCCTTTTTAGTATTTCAGAACCTTCTATATCTTAACGAAAATTTGTACTATACCATTGACAGCAGTTGTAATCTTAGTAGTCCTGAGGAAGTTAATCCTTGTTTGCAATTATTTGTATTTATGGTAAATGGCGCTTGGTTTTCTCTGTTTTATATTAAATGTTTGTGGGCATCACTTAGGGTTGTGTGTACCCAAATCAATGGGCATTTCCCATTAAACATGGTAGTAGCTTATGTGTAAAGTCTTACTCATCCATGTCTGTGCAGATTCTCAGTCATCCAGGTCATAGTAAGCTGAAAAAAACTTCATCAGTTCTGACTGACTGGTGTTGAGCCGGAGATCTTTATCCCCCTCGGTGGTGTTTCAGTCCTTTGAAGGCCAACAACGTCCCTTAACGACACCAGTTAGTCAGAACTGATGAAGCCTGTTGGATGAGAGGTGAAACGTCTTCGACCTAGAAATCTAGTCCAGTCTAGTCAAAGTGTTTTTCATCTTACTCATCCATATTATTCTCTCGGATAATATCAGGTACCCGAATAGCAACAGGCTAGTACAGCATTCAAAATGGTACTGTACTGTATATATATATATCACTTTTTACTCTTCAAAAACTCTTCTGCAGTGCAGAATAAATGAAAAGTGCAGTAGGATAGGTGTTAGTGAAGAGCAGTGTCCTGCTGACAGGTCTCTCAGCATTTCGCTAACCGTTTCCTTTGGTCTCATCGTTCAGGCTGTTTAGGTGCTGCAGCACACTCTCCATGGGGACCTCTTCCGCTCCTTCAAACTCTCCGCCGACACAGTCGCCCAGCACAGCCGCGACCAGAGCTCCTCTAAACCGGGACAAAGACGCTGGGACCCCCGCTGCCACCGTTCTCGTTGCTATCATTGCCATTCATCCGCAAGAGACTTCAACCTATAGCGAGAAAACTGCGCTGGTCCGTGGTTCAGGATACCAGACAGGGAGTGGACACTGCAACTGACAACAAAAACAAATGTCGACTCAACTGTACCCTCTGCTGCTTCCTGTCTGACCCCGATGAAAGGTTCAACATACATAAAATAGGCATACATTGAACAGACTTTCATTGAGAAAGGGCATGCAGTGTGTTCTGGTTTGTTTATTTCTATGCAGGAAAATAGAATGGCTACCGAAATTGATACAATAAACGCGACCCAACTTTATGGGAAAAGGACATTATCGGTTCCTAGTTGCTAACTGTTAAATAGGACTTCTATAGACAAGTGTTAAAGCTTTTGCTGTTGCCGCAGTATGAATTGCTCAGATCACTAGGCTGGTGGGACACAATGTACCGTTATACTTTGCGCAAATACCCAGTTTTACGGCACAGGCATACATACGTTAAGAACGCCCCCTGCTGGACAGGAGTGGTCCTCTGACACCCGAGGCTCCGACACATGCGCGGTAGCTTTTTCAGTTTTATTAAACAACAATGCAAATCAATACCGAATTTTTCAGCACAAATTGCTGCAACAGATGTATAACAGTGCATTTAGAGCACAACAGGACCAAAGTAGGCATTTAATAAGAAGGTGAAAAAGAATAACAGCACCAAACAGGTGAGAACAAAGAAAAGAAAATACAAAGAGGCAAAGCTATTCTGATATAAAATCAAAACGTTTGAGCAGGTCAGGGGTTTTGGTTCGTTTTTTGTTAGGGTGGTTTCATTGTGACAGTGTTTGGAAGTAGTTGTTGAGATTAGATTGTTTAAAAGTTGAAAAGGACGGTGATTTTTTTTCCCAGAAGTTTCATTTTATGGATGAAGAATTTGGCCAAAATAATGAACAGATTAATAACAAATTTTTCATTGCTAGAGAAATGGGTTGTTGTTGTTCTTGGAATGAGGGAGTTTCTTATAAAGATGTTGTTGAATCTTTTATCAAAGATAGAAGTGCCATTAACAGCAATATCTAAATTGATAGAGCTGTGTGTGTTTGAGAAGGAGCGTGTTAAACAGAGAATGCCAGACGGAAGTGCATTAATAACAGTATTATACTCATGCTGGGAGACAGGAACCCTGTACTTAGCTATGAAGGGCTCATATGACAACAGACCTCCATCACAATTAAACAGTTGTTTTACAAGTGCAATGTTATTTTTAAACCAGTTTTCAAAGAACAAGGATTTGTTCTTGTAAGTGATAATGGCATTATTCCATAAAAAAAATTATGAGGAGAGTAGTTGTGCTTGTACAATAGAGACCAGCTCATAAGGGCTGATTTATGGAAGTTGGAGAGTTTGACTGGGAGCTTGCCCACAGTGAAGGGACACATTAATAAGAAATTAAGACCACCAACCTTTTTAAATAGGAAATTTGGGATGATATTCCACATGCTATCAGGTCGAGACTGCAGGCAGGCCGGTCCAGCACTCACACCCTTTTCTTCCACAGCCAGGCCTTGGTAATGTGCAGTATGAGGTTTGCATTGTCTTGTTGAAATATGCATGGGTGCTCCTGGAAAAGATGTCATCTTGAAGGCAGCACATGTTGCTCCAAGATCTCTATGTATTGTTCAGCATTAAAGGTGCCATCACAGAAGTGTAAGTTCCCTTTGGCACAACCCCAGACCATGACAGACCCTGGCTTTTGGACTTGTTGCTGGCAACAGTCTGGATAGTCCTTTTTGTCTAAGGTCCAGAGCACAAGGCATCCATTCCTTTTAAAAACGACCTGAAATACTGATTGGTCTGACCACAGTACACGTTTCCACTGTGTGATGGTCCATCCCAGATGCCTCCGAGCCCAGAGCAGTCACCTTTGGACACTGTTGATATAGGGCTTCCTTTTGGCACAGTACACTTATAAGTGGTGTTTATGGATGTAACTACGTGTTGCAGTGGCCAACAGAGGTGTGCCAAAGTAATCCTGAGCCCATGTGGTTATATCGCTTATAGAAGAGTGACGATTCTTGATGCAGTGCTGTCTGAGGGATCAGAGAGCACGGTCATCCAGCTGAGGCTTGTGCCCTTGGCCTTCACGCACTGAAATCCCTCCAGATTCCTTGAATCTTTTAATTATGTTATGCACCGTAGAGGGTGACGTATCCAAATCCCTTCATATCTTTTGTTAAGGAACATTGTTTTTAAACATTTCAATAATTTTCTCATACATATATTGACAAAATGGCAATCCTTACTTTGCTCCTAAAGGGCTGGACCTTTCCTGGATGCCACTTTTGTACCAAATCATGATTGCAGTCACCTGATGACACCGCCTGTTTCAAATGGAATCATCATTTCATTGTTTCACCTCATTACTAGCCCTAAAATGCAGCCATCTCAACGTGTGCGGAATGTGTTGCAGGCATCAGAATTGAAGTGAGTGTTTATTTTGAACAAAGAATAAAATTGATATGGTATCATGCCAAATAATGTGTTGTCTTGTTTTCAGTGTAATACAGGACTGCGATGATTTACAAATCACTATTTTCAGTGTTAATTTAGATTTTACATACCGTGCCTTTAATGATTTAGGTGTACTTCTGTTAATTACAAGCAGTTTGTTTGTTGTGCGTCAAAACCGTAGACTACATAACACATAAGGTCGTCACTCTAAACTGACCCTCAAGTAGCAGGATGCATATGCTTCTAGAAATGGCATTTGAAAAGCGGTGTATAAGGTCTGCATTTGAGGGCTATCTAGATAAGTGTCAATACGCATTTATAATTTATGATTAACTGGACTTAACTAAGCTAGCGCCATTGCACGTGCGTGTCAGAAGTAAGGCTAAAATACGGTAAAGATAATGGTAATGGTTAATGTTTCCCACCAGAGTGTTCCTTCTTGGTCGTCCTAGTCTTTGTATTTATTGATCGGATACAATATGAACATTGCACCCTTGAAGAAGGGGGTTACCATATGCTTACGTTTTACACAGTTGCTTTACGAGCGTTAGCCAACTAGCTCCAGTCGCATCCTTTTTGTAGTGCTATATAGCTATTCGCATACATAACCCATAACCCTCAGAGGTGGGTGGGCGTTTGGAGCGCGGCGTCTAGAGCATAATTAAAACATGGCGGACTCGGAGGAATTTAGACTTAAACGATTAAAGGTAAGAAATACAAAAATAGCATTTAATTATGGCAACACTTACAAGGCTAGCTGAATTGGTTAGTTGCTTTAGCTTCATAATATGACATTTAGTTATTGGGATCCGGCTTCCGGTCGAGATGTGCATATTTAAGCTAACGTTAGCTAGCTATCTTACAGCCCCGTAGCTTGCTGTTTTTCAGCACTGGTGCATGCCGCTGCGCCGAGCTCCATTTAACATCCTGACAATTTGATAACCAGCAAACGAACACGCTCAACATAATATGACACTGGTGTCTTGGGGAACCCCGAGAGCCATTGATTATCCAGAAATGCAACTCTGTGTTACGGTTGATTGCCGGTTCCACAAAGCACTTGCATCGCGGAATGCAATGAACAATAAAAAGTGGAGGTTTTAGTGAAATCAGATGTTGCCATGCTAGTCACTGTATTTTGGTTTTACCTGAAGATTCCATCAGCTACTGCAGTGTCTTAATTATTTGGTGTGTGTGTGTGTGTGTCGGGGGGACCACGTTTATGCCATAATACGATAAATTGCCAGTTTTTAAAGTGGAGTTTGGTGGGACGCTTCCGTACAAGTGATCGGGCAGTATGAGGCCTCTAGCCATTATCTGTACTACCAAGACAGCGTGTTTCGTCTAACGAGTTCTCTAAATCTCTCAAACCTCGAGGTCATATTCGTTGTACCTAGGAAGACATCAGAGGTTGTGAGAGGTTCCTGTTGTTTTCCAAAGGATAAGACTATAACAGAATCATCTGTAAAAACACAAAGAACAGACCTGACTTCTCACATCTTATCAAATGCAAATACGCTATTTACTGACCGCATACTTTGATGACTGTTATGTTATTATTCTGTTACTTAGAGTATGTTACTATGTGAAAGTGATGGGGAAAGTTGCCCGTATCTTAAAATGGGTTCATTGCTGGAGGAAGGCTGCATACAGCATGAATATCTGGGGTTGATAGACAGTTTAAACTTAATTTTTCTAATGGAGGGGACCTGATAAATGAGGTGTACAGTTCCTTCTGCCGACCAGTCTCTCGGGTTTTGTGGATCATTTAGTTAGTGAAGATATTGTGAACTGAAAAACACCTTTTGTAGTACAATCTGTGTTTCTTTACACACAAAATTCAAACGAGGTCCTAACTGGAATTAATGTAAATCCAAATTGACACCCTTTCTTACACAGTGATTAAACATGTAGTCACAGGTGATCAGGTATTAATTCACATAATTTCTACATTTTAGAATACATATCACATTCAGACATTTACTCAAATTTGAGGAAATGATTTGCTTTGAGAATCTGAGACCCTAAGCTTTGTTAAAAAAGGTCATTTAAGTTGTATGCATATTTCTTTTCAGAGTAATAAACGCTTGTGCTCTCACAGAGATTTTTGAAAACAATAGATTTATTTAAAATTAAACTGGTAAAGGTTGACAGTCATTTGTATAGGAGTGAAGTGCAGAGCTTGCATGACTTTGCTCCTTGAAACAGTTTTTTAACCAACCTTTCTCTCTCCTACAGCATGAGGAGCATCTGTCCAGAGTGTTCGATGAAGTGATGGGGCTGGGAGAGTTTGCTGACTCCTCCAGGGGCTCTGCCACATCTTCCAGGAGCGGTGGCCAGGACGAGACAAAGGGAGCAGATGAAACTTCAGTACAAGGAGAACACCAACTGGTAGAAGAAGAGGATAGCAACTGCAGCAGACAAGAGGAGAAGATTGATGAGGAGGTGGGAGACTCATGCTTTCCTCGTATTTCTTCTTCTTGCTCTGGTCGACACTCCTCATTTACCATGGGAACCAACGAAGGAGGAGGTGGAGGAAGTGGAGCTGCAGCATTTGATGATGCACTGGATGGCCTTCCCTCATATGGGCCAGAAGAAGATGATGAAGACTGGCACTTTGCCTTGCCTATGGGCACCCTGGAGGATGTTGACTTGGGTAAGACAAATGGAGAAAAAACCCAACCAGGAGGAGGGAACAATGTAATTCGAGGTGATCCATTTGCTTGCGAGCCCAGAGAGGAAGAGGAGGAGCAAGAGCAGGAAGGGAGCAGTGGGTCTGCAAACACTTCCCACTCCTCCCAGGAGCACACACCTGACAACAGCCGAGGTAAGGCAGCATATCCATAGATATGCAGATAGATTGATCACTGATGCCATATTGCAAGTATCTGTCCATTTAATTGTGTCTGATTGTCTTTATAGGACCAAGACAGTTGTTTTTTGGGCTGTCATTAAAGGTGTAATCCACCAATTTCACACTTCAAGTTCAGTTTATTTGCCACAGAAACTACTTTTGAGCCTGCAAAATAATATTGGCCTCTGGCACTGGAAAGCAAAGTAAAGTACAGATGTTTTGAAAAATGTGTTTGTTTTCCCTTAAAGGGTTTATATCAGTGTGGTCATTGTCCATTAAATAATGGACAGTGACCCTAACCCAGCAAATTCTGGCATGTACAATGACCTGAGCAGAGCTTGTGAAGCTGTAAATATTTGGCTGAAGTGTGGACTGGTTTTAGTTAAACATTTTATTGTCTACCTGTCTGTCAGATGGTGGTATCCTGAACCAGACAGAAGGCAACCAGCAGGAAGAGGTGGGGATTCAGAGACACTTGAAGTAACTGCATTTAAAATCCTTTTTGAATCTTCAGTGATTTGTCATGATTTCAGAGGTCAGAGGCAGCTCCAGTGGAGGACAATAATCCCCCGATGTCTCCTAGTATTAACATTAAAGACGAGCCCATTGATGAGGGATATGATGCTGCTCTGCTGCCTCAGAGCTCCATCAGACAGATAAAGGAGGAGCTGGAACATCAGGAGGTAGGTGTGGGGAGAGGAAGTTGTTAGTATGCATCTGCTGTTTACTCTGTTTTATTATTATTTTTAACTTGATATGAAAAAAGGACTCAGTCAGCGAACAACAATATATTTGAAGTGAAATTATCAGTCCACTGTGTGTGCTATTTGTTCATGTTACTTAACTTGAATATCTTTTAAGAATGGAAAAATAAGGCACATTAAATCAATGATTGTGTCTTTTAAACATGACTTGCAGCACTACAATCTGGAGTTGTTAACCTCTTAAACAAAATCAGATTTCTTATCTTGGATCATTTCAGGAGGAGCTGAGGATCAGCTCTGTCTACTCTGTAGGAGGAGCAAACACCTTTGTGTCACCTGCTGGTGAGTTGATAAGTTAGTATTTTAGTTTTTTTCCATTGTCAGATGTTGTTTTCCAGTGGCCATATTGGACTGATGGTGTGAAACACCACTTTTGTTAAAGGCACCATTAATCAGTAGTGTCACTTGCCCAGTTTATGACATAATATCTGTTCAAGTTGAAAAGCAGTCTGTAAAATGATATTTTTCCTGTGAGCACAGTTCCACTGACTGCAGACTGGGCCCCTATGTTACAGCCACACGGGTGTTTTCTGTTATTTTGTAATTCGACTTCCTCTCAAAGCTGTGCGAGTGTGTACACACTTAAGCAAAAAATAATCTGATGTATAAACCTGAGTGCACACATGCCTCCTTACAAAAACAAAACACAGTTTGAGATACTGATAGCTGCAGGAGCTGTTAATAGACTATACAGTACAGTTTTTCTAATTAAGCAAAGTGGGCAGATGTGGAGGTTGATGTTTTACACTTGACCGTGTCAAAGTCTGGACTGGCCAGCAGTTAAATGGGGTCACCAAAACTCCCCACGTGGTATTTGTCAAGCACATAAAGGTATAGGCTGATGAAATCACACTAATATCTAACAAATAAAAACATCTTGTGCATTATTTAATTCTAAAATCCTTTATGTTTCACTCGCTTTCACAGCTAATGTTGAGAGCAGGCGATTTAAGCTGTTGGTGAGGTGACAGGCAAAGGCAGAGCGTGTCTGGCAGCACCCTGTTTTCTCCACTGTACTCTGTGCGCCTGCTGCCCCTGACAGCAGAGTCAGGTGTATACTGGAGAGATTTTATGTCAAAAAAAACTGAGATTTAAAATTGTAATTAGCCAGATGTCAACAGCATTACTTTAGAATTCAGAAGTCCACCTCCACTTTGTTCTCCTCAGGCTGTATTACAGAAACTTCCTAACTTGAAGATGCCATTGCAGATTAACAGTTCCTAAGTCGGTGTTACTATAATAACTTAAGATAGGGAAAGTGAATTACACAAGCTTCCTAACTTACCACACTGTTAAATAGACTCTCTCCTAACTTGAAGAGAACCATTGAGCTGTCCTAACCTTCACTTTTCCACCACATAGCATTAACCTGTTTAGCCTATGGCTGCTCTTTTTTGTTTTTACACAGCCAACAAAACATCAACAAGTGGAACCTATTCATTGAGCGGCTTACTGCTGATTCTAACAGTGTGTTGCTCATTAGTAAAGACAGGCTACCCCAGGCCATGATCCTTTAGTTAGCTGAGCAACTATGACCAGCTTTGGAGAAGTGGACCCAGTGACACTGGGCTCTCCCAGTTGTGGTGCAACTGACAAATGCACTTTGTTTTGCATACAGTTTCCAAGAGGGGAATAACTCACTGTAATCAAATAAAATTAAAGTAGTTAAGATTTGGGTTGGTCTGCATCTTTTAAAACGGAGTTCCTCACGGAATAATTGGTGTCCTACACACACAATATAACACAGCTGCCTGGATGTGTATTACAGAGGTTACAGTCCGTCATTGACAGAAAAATCTGAAGGCCGCCCACCACTGTGACAGATTAGAACACAGAGGGTGACCTACACTAATTTAAAGTCAGAATAATTGCTATGGTGTTGGTGATCAAGGTGAAAAAGAGGAACTGATGCAGTGGATGAAGGATAACTGAGATCGTAGTCGATGCATCTCGCTGTTAGGGCGCTGACGACGTGTTGAAAAGCCATGGACCATGTCTGTGAACACTATGGACCACAGAAGGGTGCAACTGCACCACTGGTGCAAAAGGAGCATGTGCAGCGGATTCAGTGGTGAAGTGAGTGCTTCGGGATCGGGAAGTCCCATGTTCAGAGCAACTTCTAATTACTTCAGGAGAGAGATATTCCCTGACTTGAAAACTTTGGCTGAAGTGGAGCTGGCAAGTCCAGTTTGATTGTGGCAGCAGAGCATGGATTCAGCTTTCAGATCAAAATTATAGCGGCCATGAGAAACCTAGTGACAGTCGCCTCTACAGCAGGTCAGCTGAGTTAAGTTCTTGTAAATGGGTGGTTCATATTTTAATGGTAAATGAATTCTCTCCTTTTATAAAATTGCATTGTTCACATTTGCTTGTTTATGCACCATGGCCACAGTGTTTTTAGTGGCCTTTGGTGTCACTGCAGAAAAAAATGATCTGTTTCATTTGGTGTTGACATGAAAAGTGGCTGAACCTAAGCTCGTTCTGTCTTATAATTATTAAAAAATGAATGCAAATGAAATGCTATTAAATATCTCATTAAAAAGAGAATTAAGTTGATGGCTAATAAATTATGACAGAATTTCTGACCCTGTCTGTCAAAATGATGGACAATGAGAAAGTCTAGTGTGACATCTGGTGTATTACACTGCGGATACATGATTAGTGGTTTGATATAAAACCAAATGTGATCTTTAAGAAGGATCGGTATAAAACCTGGCTTCAGTTCACTGTTTCACCATCTGTGTGACAAATTTCCCTCATATCCAAAATGTGCATCAGAGTTTTCATACAGATACACACACTCTTATGCATTTGTTTTTACAAGTCCTGACTTTTCCATGCAGAGCGGTATATGCATGTTTATAATTAGGGCCCTAGAGCGCTCGCACATGCTGGTTCCTAAGAGTTGGTTTAGGGCACTTAAAGTTAACATATGGAGTGTTTGACCTCTACAAGCACAATGGAAACTTTTAAAAGTTCCACTCCAGAGACATTTTAATATTTATATATGCATATAAATATACTCTGCTATAAATAATATATGGTCTAACAGTTTTTCCTCAGAAAGTTCAGTGAACCTCTGTAATAGGCATCAACATTGGCCCCTTATAGTGAAATCCAGGATCTCTGAATATTCAAATATATGCAAATATGCCTACAGCACCCCCTACCCCCGCTGACCTTCCCCCCACATGCGTCTGCTACTGGACCATAATGAGCCATAGACCCAGTGCTTCCCTTAACCATCACTAAGCATAACCACATGGTTTGACATAGTCTGTCCTGTTCTTTTTTCTTTTTTTTTTGCTTGTTTTGTTTTCTTTCATAAACCGGCCACTGTTGCATGTACGTTATTGAAAGCCAGCACATGTTGGACGTAAATTGTTTAAAAAGGGCCGGCGGTACAGATGCATTTACACAATGGGAAGATGCTGGTGAGAACCTGTACAGCATCGTTTGTCCAGACTCTAATCTCCATTGTTTTTGAAAATATTATCCTTGTGCAAACAGATGCAAATACTGTAATTTTTATAGTAGCTTATATATGATGCCACATATTGGTCCAATCATGGGTGATAACCCTCTGTGCACCCAGCTCTCCCCCTCACGTACCTGGAGCTTGATTTTAGTACCAAGTTGCCGTGGTCTAGTACTCCGTGCACTCCTCCAAAGCAGACCGAGTGTAGTGGAAACACACACAGTAACCGTGACATGTTAATGAGCTCGACATGTTTTGGAGCAGTCCTCTAGTGGGAAACCCCCAATAAGCTTGGGAACTCACCGTATCAGGATGAGATGCTTTGAAAACTGATTTAGCAGTTTATGTTTGAGCCATTACTTAGCAATACTGTATAAAAGAGATATGTCAAATGTGCGAATGTATTTATAGTCTGGAGGAGAGTTTGACAGTATGTCAGCATCTCTTTATTTTCTCAGTTGGACCAAAACCTGATCTAGTAAGAGAACACAGGGAGACTAGATTATTAGCAAGCAGTTTGACCAATAATACTGATCAAAACAGTGTTTTAAGCTGCTGTTAATACTCCAATATGTCTGCTACTGTCCCATAACTACCATAACATTTGATAGTGTATCAGTATCTTTTATTTTTCCTCAGATGCTTCAAAATCTAATCTAGTAAAGTTACTAGAAAACTGAGATCTTCCCTTCCTTGCCAAAAATGTAGCTAGCTAACAATTAGCTGTTAATAATAATAAGTGTCTCATACTATCTTAGTGTTAGCTAAATAATTATATAAATAGTGTAAGGAGATCCAGGATTATATCCAAATACTGTGCACTGTCAGCAGATGAAACATTTGCTTTCTGGTGCTGAAAAGTTAGTTCTGGCTACTGAGACCAGAGGTTTCATGTTTCTCCCAAACTCTGGAAAATCTGTGAACCGCATTAGACTGTCCGATTTTGTGGTGCCACAAATCCAGTCTGCCCGAGCCTCTCTCAAACTCTGATGTTTTTGGGTGGAAACAGACACTCACCCTCTTCAGCAGAGGAATGTGAAAACAGCCTGTTCATACTATGCACCTACCACAGTCAGTATAGTGGAGGGATGATGTTTATGTGGTATAAAATAAAAAAAAAACATTTAAGTGGAGTGGGTCTTTAAAGACTTGGTCATTGTTCTGGTTTTAGTAATTTTATTTTAATGTTTTTGTACAGACAAGTACTTAATCAGTGCCTCCAACCACAGCATTTGTCTATGGAAATTTGGGCTTTTAAAGTGCATACAGAACAGACCGAAAGAAAACACATCTAAAATGGCACAAGACACAAACAAGAATATAATAAAAGTACCATAAAAAGTTTGTTTGGTAAATGTGCACATGTGTAAGACAAAATACATTCCTGTTAATGGTGTGGCTGTAATCTACCAAGATACGCGGTGATGCAGAGGCAGAAAGAACACTGCTTGCTAGTCAACATAAATGTGAACATTAGTGGTGTGTTTTATGTTTAATAAAAATAAACATTACAATTTATTTATTTATTTATTTTTTTGGCTTCATCAATCTTTCTTCTCTGTCCACCGAAGTGCCAGCAGCATTCCCAGCTCCTCCTCCAGCAGCCATTTTTATCCCAGGTAGAGGTGCTGTCCTACAAGCCATGACTCCCCTTCCTGTCCGACCACCAGCTCCAGTGCTAGTGCCAGCTTCAGTAACAGCTCCGCCATCAGTACCCCCACGCCCACCTCAGCCCCCAGTTCCTGGTAGTGTTCGCTGCAGTGGCTGCTCTAAGGTACTGACGTAACCCTGTGCTGCTTAAATTTGAAAAAGGGCTGCATAGCTGTGCACATTATTGGGGAAGAAACTCATTTGTAATGTTGAAAGTTTAAATGAACTTTGTATTTTAAATAACTACAGAGTTATACATTGTAATTAACATGATATTGATCATCTATATTTGATTTGATTTGATTTATTCTTTCAAGCATGTAAAGACAGTTGATATGTCAACACACATAATTTTACACATATCCAATAAATGCTAATCCAATATCAATTTGCTTATACCTAGTACATGCTTGAATGGAGTAGGAAGAAGTCAGACTTATCCAGTCCTACCCCATGACATCATCTTACCATCATTGGTTTGCAAGCAATATCTCTACATAAATAATTATCCTCTACACCACACAAGTAATATACTAAAAAAAT